TCTATTGATTTTTTGAATTAGAGTTGAGAGAGAATAAAAAAAATCAAGTGTTTGAAAATTCTTTCATCAAACGAATGGATATGTACTTTTAACATGAAACATATCTAGGGTGGTTAAAACCAATCGATTCGATGTATCTCATTCATAGAAATTCCATTGAACATACTCTCAATTGAGAAGTTCTACAAGATGGCTATCGATGATGAAAATCTTAGTTATAGGCAACTTATGATTAATGGTTCACTTTTTCGAGTCTTCCTATCGTCGTCGTCTTAAGTTAATTATTCAATCTAATGATCATACCGGGGTAAGACCATCGTAATATGATGTCGACAGATGCTCACTTCGAATCTAAAATGAATCGAGATTTATTTTTTCAAAATCATTTCGAACACCTCCAGACGCGGTTTACTTTTAAAGCGTGACGAGATGCAACATATGTTTCATCTAGGTTGCACCTGAACACAGATCAACTGCGAATTAGATGCCTTTTGACTCAAAAACTAATTAGATCGAATTTATGCAAAACTACAAGATGATATTTTATCGAATTTATCAATTATCTATAATATATCTTCATGATGCATATTTTTAAATAATCAATGATGATATAAGTCTAGATTTACACTAGTTAATTTCATCATGATTATATATACGTTGCTCTCCTCCAGTTTTGTCGAATAATTGTTTTCATCCTTTAAATCCGATGGAAATTATAGAGAAGCTTTTCAAATTGAATCTTTCTTGATCATATAGTTTATTATGTGATTTTATGCATTGATCGAGTACGCTTCACAACAACTGATTATGCTCGAAATAATCTTAGTAACAATCTATCAATTATCTTGAAAAGTTTATTTGAAAGAAAGTTCTGCTCGAATTTGTCATATTTTTTACAGTTGATGTTATATCGAATATGACTCAATTCGAGTGTATCACAACTAGTCATGTCTATTTCTATTCTTAGATTCAAACAGAATCATTTGACGAACGAACTAATCGTTTATTCATTTGTGCAAGTGATTTAATCAATAAATGCATCTTCTAATTATCAATGTAACAAGAAAATTTTCACTTTTTATCGGTTTCCTAATTAAGAAGAATATTCATGAAATGGATTTCATAAACAAAAATCTTTTTCACATTTTATGTTAGATATATCAATGTACACTTCATCAATTATCTTCTACTCAAAAAAGAATAAACTATTGAAGGTTGAAACATTATTCGAAATAATCAATTATTATTTATTAAAATTTAATAGATTATTAATCAAAATAGCATTATTTACATCGAATACATTCTAAATATGATAAACAATCAGAAATAATTCTTTTATTTTTTGCATTATTTATTAATTATTGACTAGATGTATATCACAGTTTGTTTCTCTAGAAGAGAAATTCGAATAATTATTTTTATTTCATGTAGAACAATAGTCGATTAGATAGATCAGATTAGTATTAATATTAAAATAAATTGTATTAATTTAATATTATTTTCATTAGGATTAATTAATGTCAATTTATTACTATTAAATAATGATTATTTTTAATTCTAATAGATATTTTATCTGAAACTATATCTCTCAGAGTTCATCTTCGAAATTTTCAGATAAAAAAAATAAACATTTTTCATAACGAGAAGTGTAATTCCCAAAATCGAACAAAATTCTTCCATTTCTTTAGAACTCGTGAGGTTCGAGGGTTTGATATCTACGTAGTCATCAGTAATCAATACATTAGAATTTTAAAAAAATTTTTATTTAATTCTAACAGCTTGACATTAATTAATTTCAAAGCATTAAGAAAAGTTTATGCTAATTTTAAAAGGACATCATTCAAATCAATGTCTATGACTTCGTCTTTAAACGTTCTCTCTGATTGATCAAAATAAAATGAAACTATTTATTCTTTATTTAGATTTGTTTTAATTGAACAATCTAATAATTAAATCCATAGAACATTATTAAAGAGCATTATTTGTTTTATTTCGATTCATCTCAATATCGATTCATATCGATGGAATATTAATAAATCGAATTTAAAAAAAGTTTAATGGTTATTATTATATCATCATTATATAGATGACTATAAACCCCGTCATTCTCACTTATTTATCATATCCTTCATCATTATTTACATTGATCATCATATTCGCTCAACAGACATTGTTTTTATAATCAATAATTGGCACGATCTTACGAAATCTTCTGAGATTTTCCTTTTTTTTGCTTTATTTGACGTTGTTCATCTCTTAAATCCAACATTTAACAATGTATATATATAACATACAAAAAAAAATGAAAATTGTTAACAACATAAATAAGCGCCTTACTAAAAGGTCTCCGAAAATAGTCTTATTGTTTTTTTGTTAAAATTTTGTTGACGATGATATTCTATTCGAGTTTATTTTATTTAATATATTTATTAATTAATAAAACAAATGGATTATTGGAAAATGATAATGATCTAAAAAAAGAATGTTTTGTTAAAATCGAAACAGATAATGGTTTTGAAACATGTTTTAATCATGAATGTTATCGTTATAAAGATCCATGGAGAATTGTTCAAACTTATTTATATGATCAACCATGTTATTTACATTATCTTAAATTAGCTTTTTCAAATTATGATCAATTACTTGTTTTTATTGAATTACAAACATCAAATAATAATGCACTTGAAACTTTTTTTGTTGATCATGATTCAAAACCTTGTTTAATTGAAGTTAGAACATATTTTATTCTTAAGAGATCATTCATGACAATACTAATCATTCTCTCACTATATGAGACATTTCTCGAAATTTTTATCTTTCATTTTTAATGTGCATTCGAAAGAATATCATCTAAAAGTATCAAATTAAAATTTAAAACTGATTCAGATGTTCTATGGTAAAGGTAGACAATGCTGACTTTTCAATATTATCAACCTATAATGAATAAAGTAGTCAAATATCATATGATAAATATTTATTAGAATTATGGTCAAACAAATCAAAGAATTTTTCATAAAATATACTAATAAAAGATAAAAGATCAATAGATGAAAAAAATTAATTATTTCAATTCTTATACATCATATATTTGCTGGACTTTTCTAGTCCAACATAAGTGAGAAAAATGATAATTTGCGAGTTGATAATAATCGATGCTTGACAGTATATATCCTGCTATTTTTTTCAAATCAAAAGACACTAAAACTGACTTTTTTATATATTATATGACTTTTCATTCTTTACAAAATGGTTTTAAAATATTGAAAAACAAAAGTTTAGATTCGGAATAGAACGAGATTAATATTTTTTTCTCCTAGATAGTGATTTTTTATGGTTTTTTAAAATAAAGTGTTTAAGCATAATTCTAATAAACATTTATGAGAGAATTTTTGACTACTTTATTTATAGTAGGTTGATCGTGCCCAAAAGTCGGTATTGTCTAGCTTTACCACAGGAAATCGAAATCGGTTTTAAATTTGAGCTTGGTGCTTTGAGATAATATCTTTTCGAACGCATATCAAAAATGAGAAATAAAAATTTCGATGAGTACCTCTCGGTTTGTTAGTCTCCTGATGGATGTTCTTTTAAGAATATTTTATTTATTTATTTAGCTTGAAATAGATAATATATATCCATTTAATAGTTATTATTTTCTTAGTGAAGATATGCTTAAGAAATTAGGTGGAATTGAAGAAAAAATTCATTTATTAAAAATGGAAATAAAAAATTGGTATAGATCAATACGATCTGTTATTCAATTAATTGATAATGATATGATTGGTAGACAACCTTTTCAAAGAATAACTATTTTATTTCCATGTAATATAATAAGAACAAAAACACAATTAGTTTTAGTTCGAGATTTAAAATATCAAGAACAATCAACATGTCCAACACAAATCAAAATTTTATCAGATAAAGATATATTAACATCATCCAATTATACAACTAATATTGACTATGATAAACCAACAAATATTCGTTATAATGACAGTTATTTTATTAAAAAAACAAATTTAACTAACGATTCATATAATAAATCAGATTCTTATTATAATAATAAGAAAAAATCAAATAAATGGACTCTATTTGAAAAGGTTTGTTTACAAATTTAAACTTCAACAGTTCTATTATTAAATTTTTATTTTTATACCAATTTAGATCGCTATTCTATTCATTATTATTATATTAATTATTGCTTTTGCGCTATATCATTTTCTTACTTCACCTTCGAAATCTAATAATAAATAACGATTTTAACTTATATTCGTCCAATTATTTTCGATTTTATATTGAATATTTATTAGATATTAAATAAAATTATGTATTTTATTAAATATTTGTTTGTTTTTTTGATATCTTACATTTTATTATAGGGGTGATGCTTTATTTTTACTTTAATAGTAAAAAGTAACTAATTTAACCAAAGGTTTTCGAAGTCGAGGAATTCGAACCTGCAACCAGTTTCTCAGAATTTGGACTTTGATTGTTTTACTTAAAAGCAATGTTTTTCGCAAAAAACAAATTGTTTTAGGAAACAAGTGACTTTTATTGCTAAAAAATTTCCTTTAACTAAAAATTTCTTTCAGCTAAAACATATAACGCGTCGGCTCTATAACCCTCGGTTAGCTCACTCCTGGAAGCTAAAAAACTTCTCATGTAACATTGTCTCCCACATTGCTAAATAGATTCCTAAACGAAACTAAAACATAACAAAAGAATCTTTTTCTATGAACAGAATCATCCACTTATATTCATGTCTATTACCATTCGGATAATTTATAGCTTGTCATTCTTCTCTATGTAAAACACACCTATTTACACTACTATTTCGACATATGTCACTAAGGTCTCTTCGTAAAAATATATCACAATATAAAACATCTACAACACGATTTTTGCAAAAATTAAATCCAGACAAGAGTTGCTTATACCTTATCAAATACTCGATAAGCTTCTTGCTTCATTGAATAGCTAGAAAGAAGGAGAAGCAATTTTATTTTCCTGAAGGGTGAGCCATGCAACAGTCACTATGATAAATGGCTGAAGATTACCACTTGAGTTCACTCGAATGAGATTTGCTTGGGTCATCAGTAAAATCTCGTTTTAAGTTTGTGGAGGTTACTATGTACACTCGAGTATACATAGCCTCATGACTGTGTGCTCTCAGGCAGGGCTAATTAATTAACTGGGAGAAGAGTATGGATAGGGTACATGAGGAGTAGGTTGGAATGAGGAGGGTAAGAGGAGTGTGGGTGTGGATGAGGGTATGTGAGTGAGGAGAGTGTAGGGGTGGAGTGCCAGTGAGGAAGTGTACGGATGGATGCAGGAGGCAGTGTCGCGGTGATTCTTGAGATATATGAAAAATATAAATATAAATATTCACATGAACTCTTCACTCACATCCATAATCTCTGCCGTAACTATACTTATTCTCCAAACTCAGTTGCCTTGCTCATCCCTCCACGTCCACACCCAAACACTCTTCTAACCCACATCCTACTCGCCTACACCCCGTCACCACACTACCCTCAATTAATTGATTGTTCCTATCTGAGTGCACATAGTCATGGGGCTATGTACACTCGAGTGTGCACAGTCACTTCCTTTACTCAAATACTATTTAGATAATCATTATCAAAAAATTTCACTATATTTATCATAGTTTTTTAATAGGTCAATGATAGAAAGACGTTATTAACACCAAGCATAATACTGATTTCAAAAAACGAAAACGAACGATAGATTTTATAGTAGCTCTCTATCGCAATAAATCATCATGTTTTAAGGAGCCTACTTCTGTAATTTTAAATAGAGTAAACAATAAGTTTTATATTTAATAAAAGTCTGTCAAAACGGAGTTTACCTATAGAAATCAATAAATTCTATAAAGATGTTTAGAAATTTGTTGAATTTTATAAGTTTAATGTGATTATTAATTTTATATGGCAACTAATTTCATCTCTTTCCTATGAGAGAATATTTTGCCATATGTGCGATTGATAGAATTCTCAAAGTTCAATAGCAAAAGAACTTTATTATTTTACATAGATAAATTCTATTTTTACGATGAAATTTCATCTGATATAAAATCTACAATTTACTCTAATTGAAATTCTGATGATATCCTCGTAGAAAAATGTGATCTTCTACGTATAACCAGTAGTTTTCAACGAACTGAGAATATTTAAAAAGGAAATTTCTATTGTTTATTGTACTGAGCATTTGTCTATATTTGACAAATAATCGTATAAAATAATTAATGCTTACTGCTGTTGCTAAATAAGTTGAATTTTCAGAAAATTCAATAAAAAGAATAGCTGTTTTAGCATAATGAAATGGTGCTTTAAGGATACATTCTACGGGCTGGTCCAAAAGTCGGTTTACCGGAAAAACATTGAATACCTCCATTATGGCTCAGACAAATGAGCTGATTTTTTTATCAATGATAGAAACATGTTCAAAGGTTATATCCATAAAGACATGCTCAGAGAAACTCTTTGTTAAGTATAACTATTGATCTTAATAAAAAATTTTACTTTGTCACAGATAGGAAAAAAGAAAGATATACTTAACAAAGGGTCTCTCTAGGTATGTCTTTATAGATATAAAGCTTAAATATGCCTCTAAGATTGACAAAAAAATCAGCTCATTTGCTCGAGCTGTAACGGAGGTATTCAATTTTTTCCCGTAAAGTGACTTTTGCACCGTCTTGCATATTGTGTTTTCCTATCGTTTTTTTTCTATCTGTGACAAAATAAAATTTTTTTGTTAAGATCAATAGTTATACTTAACAAAGAGTTTCTCTGGGCATGTCTTTATGGATATAAACTTTGAACATGCTTCTATCATTGATTAAAAAAATCAGCTCATTTGCCTGAGTCGTAATGGGAATATTCAATTTTTTTTCGGTAAACCGACTTTTAGGCCACCCTGTAAATAGATAAAAGGTAAGAGTTAAAAGTACGAACCAAAGACGAAGTGTACTAGCCATTGCATTCCGATTGTTTGTTTTTTCAGGTTCAAAAAAATGAAAGAATAAGTTAAGAGGAATAATCAGCATATGATGAGACATGAATGAATGAGTAATATTATCTCTATCAAAAGTGAATGTTGGACATGTGTGTCCTCTTCTGAAATAATTCTTTTATTAAGATTGATTGAGATTAATGTGAAAAATATGATGGTTAACTGTGAATAAATCGTATTCGAAATACGTTTGATAGTACAATTTGGCTTGCAATATGTTTGTAGAGTTGTGTACTCGAGCGCTCGATTTTGATCGGTTGTTATTATTTACTTTTCATCATCGTAAGAGACGAAGATTGGCATAGAAAAAACATATTTTATTTTTATTTTGTAATCATAATTTACAGGTTCATTATAAATATGTTAACATCAATACAAACTCGACATATGATTGATCGCATTGAAAATGAAGCTTTTATTAGCATATCAGTGAAAAAAGCTTTATGTAAATTGTACGAAAATCGAATAAAAGGATCTGATCAACAACAAGATGAACGTGATATGACATTAAAATTATTCAACGAATTAATTGATGCAATAAAAAATGATTTTTGTTCATCAGAACAATATGAACGTGATCATCAAGTACAAGATTTATATAATCAATTAAAAACCAATCTTAATAATTGGAAAAATAAATGGTTGAAATTAGTTATTGATATACAACAATTTGAAAAGGCATTTGGAGAACTTGTAGATTATCTCGAGTCCAATTTTAGTATTATGTCCACGATTTTCGAACATGTTTCGGTAATAATTATTGAATTTTGAATTACTTTATTATTCTAGATTTTTTTATATCTAATTTAGAAAAAGGCAAACAATGTTGAAAAAGAAAATGAAGAATTAAGGAAAAATTTACAGGATATTAAGCATGAAACTGATGATTTAAAAACAAAACTCAATCAATTAGAAATAAGTGAAAAGAGAAGAGTTGAAAAAGAAAAAATTGTTGAAAAACGTATACTTATTCGTGATTTATTTCTCATGGCTCACAAAAAATTACATGAAGAAATAAACAAACGTCCATTACCAAAAAATATATTAAGTATCGTGTATGAAAATGATATAATCGAATTATCGAATAAATATATTTTTTTGTTCAAAATTCTTCATGATATATCGGTGGAATTTAAAATTAGTGAAGAAAAATTATTAAAATACCTTCAACAAAAGAAGGATGCAAATGATGATTTTCATTTAAATACGGAAATCAAACAATATGCTGTAAGTCATAGTACGACTAAAGATTATAAATTAGATGAATTTGTGGAATTACAACACATGCATCAACTTGATTCCGACAGTTTTTCGATTTTTCAAACAGTTTTTTCACAAGTGTGCACCATTATTAACAATAGGTATGTGTGCTGAATTCTGTCCCGTATCCAATCAAAAATATCAATGCACATAGATTTCCTCATATTCTGTAAATTCTCATATTTAATTTTAGTTCAAACAACCGTCCACCACCCAGGTCAATCAATCCGACACGGATCCGATGGTATCTTATAGGATCCAACGAGTCCTACAAAATCCGATCGGAATCCGGGTCACGATCCGACGAACAAATCCTAGTGTTGGAATCCGAGAGACATCCGATCGGATCCGACAGAGATCCGATCAAATTCAACAGTCGGATTCGATAGGAACTCCAGCAGTCGGATTCCGACGAGATTCCTATAGTATCCTATCGGATTCCGATCGGATTCCAATACTATGGATCCGTTAGTCGGATTATGACCCGGATCCAATAAAATCCTATAGGATCTGGATAGGATTCGATAGGATCCGATGGGATCCACTGTCGGATTGTTCGCCCTGGGCAGCAAAAAATCCAAAAGCATTTCGTGTTGGCGATAAAGTATTGGTATTATTCAATGATGCTGAAGTTAGTAACTGAACTTTATCACTTATTTGTTATTATTTCTTTTGTGTATTGTAGTTATATCCAGCAAGATTAATCAGATTTGGTTTAAAAAATGAATGGATGATTGAATTTGATGATAAAATACAAGGCAAACAATGGATATCACCAAATCGATTATTCTTTCGTGAAGAATTTTAATGAACGACAAACTGAAATTGTTATTGTAATACAGAACAGAGGATTATGTATTTTTTATTTCATGTCAGATCAACTTTTTTTTATTAATAAATACTAGACAATAAGACATTGGCTAAAAATCTTGAAAATCTTGATTATCAGTATCCAGGAATAGATCAGTGAAAAAGATCATAAAAAATAAGATCTTGCAAATCTGTACCAAAGATCTAATTCAAGATCTTGGTACAAGATAATCATATTATCTTCTACCCATTTTTTCAAGATCTGTTAACATTTGTGTACCTTATATCTTGATCAACATCTTGCTTACAAGATGTTTCACTAGGGTTGATTATAGAGATATAAGCTTCATTTTTAACAGTACAATTTATAAAAATTTCCAAATATGTCTTTTTAATAGTAGTCTTTAATAGCGACATAATCGATGACATTGTTTATTGGTGGTTTTGTTAAACTATCACCAATGTATGTGTTAGAGTAATGCAATTCACGGATTGGCTATCAGTACCCGTACTTGCTGATGAGTACGAAATTATCGGATACAAGTAGCAGAGATTTGGGTACGGGTATGAAAAGTGGTGCCCGTGCAATACTCTATATAGAAGTTTATTTAATAAAAATGGCTTTTTTTCTTTGATATTCTAAAAATGAAAGATAAGATTGATTTGATGAAGAATATTTTAATTATTCTTTCAAAAAAAAACTGATTCTCCATTATTTGACATACGAGAATAATGAATGAACAAAGATTATCATTTTGTATTAGTAAATATAGTTTTTATGTGAATTAAAATTTGCTTCGTTTCATTTTTTTGAAACATGGAAAAAAAAGCTTTTCTATTAAGATCAACCGATAAATTATCTTCGAATCTTTCTTTCTTATTTCAAAAAGTTTACACGTGAAAAAAAAACATTTTTTTGAGATTTTCATAGATCTATATCGTCTAAGGTTTCTTCGTTAAATATTCACTAAAAAAAATGTTTTAATTTTGAAAGATTTTCAAGAAATATAATCGAAACTTGTCAACTACCCTACGGTTATATTCTTCAGCCAATTTTGATAACAACTGAATAAAAACAACTATGTCAAGCCATTTGCTATTAACTATTAGGGCTACCATGGCCAAGTGCCTGTGTTGTTACACACATATCAACAAGATATTATGTTCAAAGGTGAGTACTATTAGCTATGAGATGATCCTGAACAAGTCAGTAACAGCTATTTATCTCGAATGGATCGTCCGATAGCATGCTGACTACCTTTTGACATACACCTACTATTGTCCTTAATTAGTACATATGAGCAGCTTCAGCTATTGACCAGAAAAACTATGCATCAGACTGACCTTCTATTCAGAGAGACAGTTAGTATTAACTACAGGGAAGATATTCAGATATTAAATCTGCCGCTAGACAGCATAACATATTGCAAGGTAGTTGAAAGATTGGAATATTCTTCCGTATTCTTCCTAATTGTTAGCCATTGGTTGATTATAACAACATACTTCATATTGGTGTAAAATAATAAATAGATAAAATGCAAAATAAAAGAAAGGTACAATTAAAAAATGGCTTATTCTTATCTCAAGTGATAAATAACTATTTCTCATTTAAATAAAACAATATCTGACTATTTCATGTTCGAGTATAATCAAAAAATATTTATATGCGTCCAGCAGGCTTCGTATTGGCTCTTGATCTCTAGAAAACTCTTAACAATTGCAGTTTGTCTATGGAAAAAAATAATATCGTAAATTTCCTTTTATTTATTCAACTTTTATGAAAAGTTTTATGAGGAATTCACATATAGCGGGCCGAAAATCAATAATCGAGATAAGAAGGCACTTTCTCCATTCGTCAGTTTTTCTTTTATTATGGTTTGTGTCTCTTTTTGACAATATAAAATAAAAAAAGAAGCATTGATATATATGAGAAATCAACATTATATTCATGATTAGAAAGGGGGAAAAAACACATAAAAGAGTCTCATTCATTATAAACTACTTTCGATGATGTGTTTTTTTTTACCTGTCAGCAAATAACGAGTCAAACGTTAAGAATACAAAAGTGAGGAGAAACTACGTATTTGATTTTAGTGGGAAATATTTTATGATGAAATATACTCCTTTTTCTGTATTTTTGATTGTTGCTTTGAGATACGTTGATTAGTTTAAGCATAAAATCAACTTTTAATTATAAAAAAGTTGAAATCTTAGCAATGTTTTTCTTATATTAAAGATGAAAGTGATCCTTCGATTACAATATGATAAATATCAAGATTTATTTATTTTAATATAATTATAGAATTGACAAGAAAAAAACAACGAATGATATAATTCTTAAAACAATAAATAGTAAATATAATTGTAATTTAAAATGAACACTGTTGATTGATAAATTCAATTGAAATATTCTCGATGTTGAATTAATTATTTAGTTAAATAATTGTTTGTGTTGTTGTTGATGTTGTTTTTCTATAAGGCCAATATTGATGATGATATTCAATAGATGAACATAAATGACATATCAAGAATAATGCAAATATATTTAATAAACAACTTATTATTATATTAATTATAGATAATAAATGTGTTGATGATTTTGTTAACCATATATAATTATGAATAATATAAAAAGATGTTTTTAATGATAAATATTTATTTGAATTAATTATTTCAATATTAATTATTAGTAATATAAGTGTTATCAATGATGATAATAATAATATAAAAAAAAAAAGAGCAACAAAACAAAGAATAAAGATTTTTGCAAACCATAATCCATAAAAACTTATTGAAAAAATAACTAAACTTATAAAAGCTAATAATATTATTTCAAATTGATATTTTGAATTGAATAAATCTTTTTTTATTCTATATGAATGATTTGAATGAAGTAAGACATTTACTAATAGAAATAAACAATAACATGTTAATACAAGTCGTGTTCCAAACGGAGATCTTTGACGATCATAACCCATCGAATCAATATCAAATCAATTTGCTTTTATCTCTAAACATACTTTTTATAAAAAGAATTCTTTTTTTTTATCATTATTATATATATACCATAAAGAAAAGAGATTCCTGTTGTGATTACCATCTGCGATTCTTTTTTTTTTTCATTGATGCTGTTCATGCTGAGTGAGAGAAAAATAAAAAGGTTTCTCTCGAGTTTTATCGATCAGCCATTAACCTAATGAAATGCCCTTTAGCTATATTTTATTATCATCAACCGATACAACAATCAATTAACTTTTCTTTTTTAATAAAACTTAAATTCTTTTATCGACATTATTAAAGAAACAAAATTACTATTAACGGTTTTTTCAACCAGAGAAAAAAAGAAAAAATTTATTCTGCGGACAAAAATTGTAGATCTGATTAGAATTTTTTTTACTATGAAAATATTTCACAAATTTGACATAATATATTCAAATCTACAATTTAACTTGTGTGCTTTTTGTTTGTATTTTAATAATACATTGAACTATTCTGTAATTATCATTTGAGAAAAACTGATTTTTTTCTTAAATAAAAAATGATTGTGGAAAGACAAAAAGTTGTGAGAAGGTGATTTTTCCAAATTAGAACGATTTTCATTAGTTTTCTATAGAAAATCTTATTTTTCGATTATTGAAATCGAACTTTTAACAATAATATTTCTGATTCAATATTTTCAATAGGTATCAACATTTTTGTCACTATTTATGTTAATACTCAGATCATTATTTAACTTGAAGATAATTGAGAAGAAATTTCAAATAAATATTAATTAATCATTTTAATAGAAACAATATTTCATTGTTTTCAGTTTTTTTTACGATACCCGATGTTCCAAACATTTATCATTTGGTTATATTGATCAATATATGATTTAAATTCTATTCTCAGTATTATTTCCAAGTTTATGATAAAAGACTATTCATTTTATTTTATTTTATTTTTTAGAAAGATTCGATAAAAATTTTCTTTTTTATTTATTTTAACATTGTATTCTTCGCATTTTTTATTTTACTCGATTTGTCTATTTTCTCTTTTAAATTGGTTTAAAATCATAAATTGATTCTTGAATTTAAATACAATTTATTGAACAATTCACAACTATTTACAAAATTTATTAAGAAGAAAAACTAGTTGAACAGAAAAAAAATCCCCACATTAATTCAGTTTTTAATCTATCGAAATTGTTTAACTAACTGAAGCAACAGATTTAGATCGATTAATTATTGATAATCTCTATTTAAAAATTATTTTTTAATAAAAAATTAATCAGAGAAATATTCCGATTTAAGGTTAGATTGGATTTCATTGTGTTGTTTTTTTTTATATAAAGATGTCTAATGAAGATTCACGTTGTTTATTTAACCTAATTAAGATTATTATTTCGAATAATCAACTAATTATATCAATTTAATTATTTAACAACTTATTTTCTTTTCATTAATTATTCGATAAATCAAAAGCATCATTTCTTTTTAATTTACTCTTATGATAATTACGTAATGCACGTGAATATATCTGGTTTTTTTTTCGGATCACTTGTACCAGTCGTTGACTAGATATTAATAATAAAACAAATGAAAGAAAAATTAAGAAGGGATTTTGTTCTATGTCTACAATAAAAGTAAAGCCATCGGAAACT